GGGGGGCAGTTTATTTTATCATGAATCCTTTGAAAGACTAACCATTTTCAAAAACATTAGTAAAAGTTGTACTACCTTGGAAAAGTAAGTGTGATGCATGGTTGCCTTATTTGTCGTACAGTTGGTTTCATTGTGAGTGCTTGAGTTCTGCCCATAAATCCTCGTAGATGTTTGCAAACTAATGTTATACTGCAGAGCTGAGTCATCTTGGAGGGATCGGGGCCATGCTGGTTTTATTTTTATTTTTCTGTGCAAGACTTTGCAGCAATTCGAAACCTAGTGCATTTGCTTCTACATTCTTTTTTCCAAAAAGCATCGTCCTGATTGTCATCCAAACTAATTTTATGCAGTGTTTAAAAAACAAGTTAAAGTTAAAACAGTTGCAGTTTAATTTCAATACCTCCTCAAGCTGAATGCCAGTAAAAGCAACAACTGCCTCCTAAAACCTGCTGCCCTTTTTTTTTTTAATAGCATACTGTTGCACATTTAGTATTCAACACCAGAAAATACATCCTTTTATCTGACATTGTACATTGACTGAAAAAAAAAAAAAAACTAACAAAAAAGTACCATCTCACCACAATTATGAGTCAGTTGCTAAGAAAATCCTAAATTACTGAAGGGAATTGAGGATACAAAAAAAATGCTGGCAGAGTAACACAATCAATGCATCAATTTTTGAGGTTCCAGACAATCTCAGCTAGACAAAGGAAGAAAAAATGAACTTGTATAAACACCGTCCAATCCCAAAGGTTTCAGTTGTATTTACTGTATTTTTATGAAGCTACATGAACGGAAACTTTAATAGAGCTCAGTGCTGAATCGTTGTTGGCCAGAGTTTTCTACAGCCAGTCAATTGTCCCTCTTGATCGTAAACAAGCCGACGTGCACAGATAAATACGATAAAGAAAACCACAACAATCCCCACCTTTATAGTTTTATTTTTGATATCATCATCAAAATTTTTACAAAACATTTTCTGACAATAATATACTCATAGAAGAGCCATATTTTTGCGCTTTGATCAGGTCTCCACAAAAAAATGCTTTGTCTGAATACAATAAAAAGAAGAAAGAAAGAAAACAAAAAAAACCAACAATCGCAGCACATATTTACAACTTACATTAAAAAAATAAGAAAAAAACTATGTTTTCTGCAGAAAATGGATGAAAAGGAGTCTTTATGAACCTCATGGCATGTATGGAAAACATTTGAGTGCCAACAGAAATAGAATAAATATCAGAAAACGTAAAAAAAAGGCAAATAATTTGAGCCTGCAAGGGAACAATTCTTAATTCTTATATTGCTCTCCGTCAGGCTCCTTCTGTTTGCTCTCTCTGTAGTCAGCTGTTGGACATGAATGCAGCCCATTTAAATAAAAACTCTTTTTCTTCAGAGAGTACATTAAATCCAATTAGGGCTTTGTCAGGCAAAATAAAAAGTGTGTTTCCCCCCAACAGAGGTTAATGATCATGCCTTTCTTTTCCATGCCACCTCTGACATGAGCAATGGCAGAAAAACAAAGTTGGGACAATGCGGGTCGAAGGTTAAAGACTTTCTGCTAATGTGAAACAGCGTGGAACAATAACAATCAATGGGGAATGGACTGGCCTGAACATCAGTAACGGTGATGTTCGTTCAGAGGAGGTAGAGGAGTAAGTGCAGTTGGACGGTGGAAACACACACATAGGCCATGTACTGTACATGCAGGGTAGCTCAATCAATGCTTCTGGTTTCTATTTAGCATTGCAAAGTCAAATAATTGTCTTTCTCAGTCCAACTACACTCAAACAATAACAGAAATTTAAACTGGAAATGGGCATATGAGGAACATTTGTTCTCCTCTTCTCCATGTGCATGTAGGCTGTTAACGCAACAGCGTACTGTAAAAACACACTCCAGAAATGCCTGCTGGTAGGACACAGATGTACGGCTGAGAAGAAAAATCAGCAAATCCACGTCTGACTCTATTTAAAAAAAAAAAAAATCTATTTATTAGGTAATAGATTAGAGACTAGCGAACCATCACAGATGGCCTTGAGTGGAATGAAATGGATGAACGTGTCAAACTGTCCTGTATTTTATTATCATGTGTCATGTCTTCTTTTATTATTATTATGTGTTTCCTCTATTCTTGGGTATTTATGCCTTTTATGCTTGATTGTTTTTACAGTAAGGACTGACGGGTTAAAGTGGACTCTTGGTGATAGTGTCAATTATTATTTATGTATCTTTAGATGAGAGCATGCATAATACATACATGATGGTGTACATTTTGTTTAAGCTGTGCGCCTTATGAGACTCATCTTTACTGTCAGAGCTTTTTTCCTTAAAGTGGAAATAAATAGGTCATTCAGAAAACAGATCCAAGTTTTCACTGTAAATAAAAATAAAACGTCTGATTAACCCAGATGTCTTTGCATGTCCTTCCTGCAAAACATTTCTATTGTCTAAATTTTCATCTATCATTTTTTTTTTTTTATCTCTGTGTTGTATGTTTCTTTACAACATAAACAATGGAATTAAATAAAAGCTATTCTCAGGACCTTTGTTCACGTCACTCAAATCTAGAACAAAATATATATTTAAAAACAAAAGGCAACAACAGAAATAATTAATTTAGTTATATGTTGAGCCTTAACTCAGACGAGGATGGAGTTGGGGAGCTTGCGGTTTGTGAAACCATTTACAAACAAGCAAAATGGAAAATAAAACCCACTGGCACCGAGAGGCTCACGTAGCTGCTCTTGGGAGTACAGCTTAAACATGCATCATTAGCATGCAGCGCTTGTGCTTTCAGCTCTCTGATGGCAAAAGAATCGGACAAAAGACCGGATAATTACTGGCAGCGGGGTTTGAAACATTCTCGTAAACTTATCCGGTTTTATCGGGAAGGTGGCTGTGAATAATCAAAACTGATTTAATTGTAAACGTGTAAAATGATTTAGTCTATCATGAAGGGGAAAAACACTTATGGATTTAAACATATGGATACCTCTGAAATCTAAAATAATAGCAAAGCAGGTGGACGTTGGCTTCAATGAGCATCTGTAAGAAGGGACGCTCTATTCAAGGGAATTGTAATTCTGACCAGATAAGAGCAGGAATGGGTCAGCAACTGTGATACTTAAAAAAAAACACTGGTGATGTTCACGGTGTGCACTGCTGGTTCTTGGCCATTCCTGCCAGGAAACATCTCCTTCGTTGTTCGCCTCTACCTCAGTGTCCCCAAACTGGACAAAGTTTCCCGATATATAAACATGCGGACAGAAATAGAACGACGTTAAACAGGTTCACCTGAGTCACCAAGCAGCAGACATGAGATTCAGGAGTATTAGGAGTGATACAGAGCAAGGCAAGACAATACATGGGTAGAACTGAGAGAGCTCCCATTAAAAAAAACATTGGCACAGCTGCTATTACAAAATAAAATAAAACTCTACCAGCACAATTAAGCAACCGTAGTGAGCGAATCAACTGCTTTTCTGCAATGTTCTGTACATGAGAGGGAGCGGACACCCTTCTTAGTTGTAATGCCGTGAGAACAGTTGTGTCATTTTGTTGTTTGGGGTCTATTTTTTTATTTTTTTTATTTTAATCAGTAAAACATTCAACAAAATAATGGCACACGCTTTTTTATCATCAAGGAATTTCTTAAATGGCAGGTTGGAAACCCTTAAACTGAAAAAAGTGGATTGCAATACAAATAAAACATCATGCGACCACCACCTGAAAGCTAAACGCTCAAATGCGTTAAAACAAAAATGGAAGGAAAAAACAAATACGTGGATTTGTGAGTTTTGGCATTCTGAGAACATCACAGTAACAAGGCTTCCAATCTTTCTCTCTTTTTTTTTAAAAGTAAAATGACCGTATTTAAGAAATAAATTCAGTAGCGTTATTTCCGATTAATGATAGAATCATGAAGGGAGCAGATAGAAAAATAGTCATTATTGAAACAATGAAAGCAGTACAGTAGGAACCCCCTCACCGAGTCGTCATGGTAATATATTCCCACTGGAACGTGAATAAGGCTCCTCTTCTCTTTACAAACTGTTTGCGTTTAGAAGAAGCTCATATTTTTCTTCCTTAAAGACTTATTATTTACAGTATATTTAAGTTCTATTTGATTTTGTTCTTTACGTAGTCATATAGAATTTCTTGACATCATCTTTGAACACCTTTAAAACTTACTTTCAAACCAAAAAGAGACAAAAAAATCCTTATATCTCTTCTCATCTTGAGGATGCTTCAACCTTTGATCTCTTGCAGTTTAGGCTGTAAATCAGTCCGTTGCTTCGTAGGAGTACCAAGTATCGCGTCCACATGTCTCCAGACTTAGCTGGAGATGATATCTGACGGGGCATCATCGCCGTATGTGAAGTCCTCGACGGCTTTGGGAGTCAGTGACTAGCCATGCTTCACACGGTGACCTCTGGGTTTCTGAGTGCATCAAACTCCAGTGCACTGCGCACACTTTCAGAGAAAAATAAAAGAATGAAAGAAAAAGAACACGTCTGGCAATATTCCCAGTACAGTCCACGGGTTCATGAGCAGGTCAAAGAGAAGTCAACGTGCTGGTTCAACATGCCCTCGATAGGCAGCGAAGTTCTTTGTAGCAAACAGAAGCAACATGGTGCTCTTCATAGTCCAGTCTGATAAAGTTAAACATTGATTTGACCATGTTTCAGGTGACGGTTTGGGGCAGTGAGAGTGGTTTCACTTTCAATAAAGTTGACCTTACCGATAATATTTACACCTTTTCACTCAGCTGAAGTTATTTTCACAACGGTTGCGCACCACTGCCTTTCTGAAGACGTACTGCGTCATTTAGCTGGGATATCATCATATACAGTAATTTGATTTTTTTTCTACTGTGCAAAGGGATCTTAAAGTTTTTTTTTGTTGTTTTTTTTAACATATAGTTTTTGCTACTGTTGTACATGAATAACAATTAACCTGATGTTGGGAGGACTGGGTCATGTTGGATGATTATGATATAATTTTAAAATGTCAGATTAACTACCTGACCTATGTTAAACTCATTTGTAGAGATGTGGCCAGCTCTTTGAAAACAGTGGAGGCTTTGGTGACAATCACAAATGGACAAAGGCTGTTTTGTTGTACAACTGATATTGTATGCATGTTCATTAAAGAAAGGTATTAGTAAACTCTTTGGCTTAACATGCACATAAATTGAATTCAGCAGTAAAACATTAAAAAAAGCAACAAAACTAAATATGTATGTGGTCGTTTGTGAAATAATGATACAGGTCTCCCCTTTGTCAACAGCTTTTGAAGTACAATTTAAATAATGGTAGTGCGAAGCCTATTGAACATCAACTCTATCTCTTAGATCTTTAGCCACTTCTCCTCCCTCTGATAATCGACACATTGTGTTTATTGCACTTTTCCTTACACTCTTGCCACAACAAAATTGACTGACGCTTCTGTGAGCAGGTACATGCTGGAAAAAAAATACCACTTATGAGTCCGTAGCGAGGTCATTTAAGGTGTTTTGCTTTCAAATGCTTTGAAAGGATGATCAGTGTACAGTCATACTACTGTGTATGCTAGTGAGACTGTGTTCCCTCGGGCATAGTTTGAACATGTAGTCTTTTAGATCATGAACTAAAAACAAGGCCCTGCTAAATAACCACCTCACTTGCACCTTCATTTAAAAGTAAAAGTGAATCACAGACGCTTGGCTCACTTTCAGCAACCAGGTTCACTAGCGTCCATATTTGAGCGTGCCGGTGCGCTCAGCGGGAGGAAAAGGACCACTGCTGGGAACTTCAGTTTGTGGTATGATGGAGGGTGGAGGGGAGCGGGTCCCTGGGACACCTATGCTGGCAGCAGAGGGCACAGCAGGCAGGGCCACTGTCTGTATTGTGCCCCTATCACACGGCCCCAGGTCCTCGAGTCCCTCCAGGCCCTGAGGTGGGCCTTCGTAGCCCATGTTGAGCCGCAGGGGTTGGTGGGCCTGGCAGTAGTCCACAATAGGCTGTTCATAGCGGTAGAAGGTCAGAGCACCCATCTGGTGGGGGACCTGATAGAAGGAACAGGATAGAGGAGCATAAGGAAATGGAGATGGAGAGAATAAAGATGGAGAATAGGCCATATGAACAGAGGAAGAAGATGAGGGGAAAAGAAAGAAAAAGGAGGAAAATAGATTAGACATTTTTATAGCCAGAAAATCGGTCTCATTGTCAGAAATGTGGTCAGATCACAACTCCCAGAATTAAAGTTCAGAAGACTCGACATTTTGAGTACACATGCTCAATGTTTATGTGTAGGCTCATAAAACGGAGGCACCAACATGTGAAAATGGAAGAGCTTGGCCTTAGGGATGTTAGGTTTGTTGTATGAGTGCTCACAAGCCTCAATACAACATCACCTCATACTCTTTCATTTCTTTCCACACACACACAAAAATAAAGATCTTGTGTATGTAAAAAAAGAAAATAAATAAATAATTATATATATATATATATATATATATATATATATATATATATATATATATATGTATATTAATAGCAATGATAATAATAATAATATTAATGATGATGGCAATAATAATATTCATAATGTTAATTATGATGATGATGATTATAATGATGACGACGACGACGTCAATGATGATACCAATAAGGATAATAATTACATGCTTAAAAGCAGTGAAGATAAGTCATCATGTTGTGCACAATCCAATTATTTTTGGTTAGTTAGCAAAAACAATAAAAATTAAATATGTAAAATGAATATAAAAAATAAATAAAATAAAATAAAAATGTTTAAACATGTATATGCAGTTATTTTAGCAGTTTTTTTTTTTTCCCATTCCATTTTACTACCACAGATGATACTTCACTTCTGCTTCAATGTTAATTTAATTCACAACGGTTCATTTAAGCTCAGTGACTTCAACCTAAAATGAGTTTGGCAGGTCACTACGATTGTCCTCACATGGTTTCCACATGAGCCTCCAATCATCCAACGACTGTTGGTGCACAAACCCTAACATAATCATTTATTTCAGCTGGCTTTACCAATGTGTGAAACGTATTTAGTGAAAACTCTTATTGCCCATGCCTCGTTCCGTAATGCTCATTGTCACTTTCTTTTGCGTGTGTAAGTTCATGAGTAACACACAAACTACATTACACATAACACACAAGCTTTTAAGCTCAAACTTCGGTGTAAGAACTGGAAGACAGAACCTTGCATCGTCTCCAGAGCCATGCATCTTGTCTCACATCCAGAAGCCCTCGTCACATCTGGACATGTGTTTGGACTTGTGTTCCCTCTAAAGACTCATTCGCAGTCCTAAACAAGCAGATGCGTCTTTTGCGACACTCTGTCTCCCCAACTTTAAATCACACACTTATTTGCCAATTAAAAGATCTCTAACAGGCCGTGAAAAACAGCAGGGTGAGATGGCAGCTGACCTGGAATAAATACTGCAGGCTGGCAGAGAGACAAATCATCCGATCTGTACACGCAGGCAACACGAAGCGCACAACAGCAGGAGCAATAGATATGACACCAAAACCAATGAATAATACAACCACTGACTCTTGAGGCAGTGCTGAAACAGAGCATGTGTCACAAATGCGCCATCCTTGTTGTAACTTTCTTATTTTAACTACATCCACAGATCTAAGTTTGGCATCTAGAACAAACAACACTGTTCTGGATGAAAATGACATTTACTGAGACAATCCTTTATACAAAATAACTTCAATCAAACTTTTGCTTTTATTCTACCAAACTCCCAATAGAACAAACTTTCAATGTAACATTCCACTGAGATGAGGATAATTATACATCTAAGTTTTCTTCTGTCACTCCCATATCATGAAGATGAAACATATTTAATTTTTGTGTTGTCAAAATAGCTGATTACACTTTTTAGTTGTGTCTTTTGACAAGATTGTTGAAAGCTCCAATTTCGGATGCTGATACATTTAATAAACAAGTGGCACATAAAACAAACTAATTGTGTACATGTTTCTGATGACAGCATTTTTATTTAAAGAAAAAGCTGATCTTCATGTAAAAAAAAAAAAAAAAGCAAACTAAAAATCTAAAAGTCATCCAAAGGAAAGTTGAAACTACTTGAAAACGTTGTATGGTACGTGAGATACAACCGAACGCCAATGTAATAATGAGATGCAGAAGGAAAACATTAATGATCCTGTACCCACTGGCTCTGATACAACTATCCTGAAGAAACTACCAGGACATTTACTTTGGATATGACAGAAACAGCAGCCAAAGCAGATAACTGTGTTCAGGTATTGTATAAAATCAATGTTTTTGTTTAATGATGTTATAGGTGAAATGCTAGTTTCCACAAAACATATGCAGTAGTCCCTCACGGTAGAGCTGCATTTTCTAACCCAAACCCGGAGCCCGGCCCTGCCTGAACCAAATTTGGAATGGGCTGGACCAAAATATGTATTATTAAAATTTAATGTGTGGGCCAGGTTGGTGTTGGGCGTTTTACTGCGTCAGGGGAGTGCACGGCCGACAATCCAATTATATGCAAACATGGCTTGCCCAAGTTTACCTGCCGCAGTGGCCATTTCACAGTGTGCTGACCAGCCTCGAAAGAGGTAAAAAGTTCAGTTAAGCTTCAGATGGACTACTGCCAGCAATCCATCAGCCCAAATGGATGTTCATTCACCAGACGCGCGCAGCCAATGATCCAAACAGGTGAGATCACAAAATACCCAACATGACAGAGCAGGGTCCAATGCAGGCAGAAGCAGGGGAAGCTGTTAATGCGCTATGACTGCTCCTCAGCTCCGATCTTCTGTCCCTTTACTCAGCCGCACGCGTCCACTGACCATTAATAATAGTCAGAGGTATAAGCAGTAAAAGCTTAATTAAAAATGTCTGGGTTTTTTCGGGTTCAGATCCGTAATTCTCGTTAATTTGTCGGATTGGGTGGGGTTCGGAGATGACGCCTGTGGGCTGGGTCGGGTCAGAAGTTTTGGACCTGAGTGTAACTCTATTTTGTGGCTCATTTTAGAATATATATATATATATATATATATATATATATATATATATATATATACTACTTGCACTACTATTCCTACTTTGCGTTTTCTCACTTATTGTGGGGCTTCAGGGTATGGATCCCCCACGATAAGCGAGGGTCTACTGTATTCGGTTCAGCTTTTTTATTCCACAACATCTCCACTACCTCTGTTTACATTCTCTACCTCATTTCTCCTAAAATGGACTCCATTAAGCAACTCTGACTCATTACATTATGGGCACTCAGTGGATTACTCCTCTCGCTTCTCTTTTAGTTTTTAAGCATTTCCCCGTCACTGCTCCTGCTGCTGCCACACCTCCACTCCTTTTTCATCACACACCTCTGCTCTGCTCCACACTCCCTGACCACGACCAATCAGTTAATGAACCCATATTAACTCCCAATCATTTCAGTGGTTTCTGTCAAATTATACAAATATAAATCTGGTCTTTTGCACATTACATATTTGTAAGTGAATATCTGCAAATATCCTATAGAAAAAATGAGGGTTAATAGACAATTAAGCACCAAGACAATGTTGAAGATAGCACACAGCATATTTTTACCATTAACATCTTTTTTTTTTTCTTTTTGCTAATAATAATAATATTATTATTATATAATCAGCATTGTATTAATATTTCATCTAACCCAGATTTGTGTTTGCTCTCCAAATTGTAACCAAAATGCTTCTCACGTCAGCGTCTGAGAACAAAAGGTGCTTTTTCTTTCATATTCCATCATTGCAGGGTGTCGTTTCCTCATTGAGAATGCTGTCAGACACTTTGCCTCTCAGCATTAGGGCATTAGTAATTCTTCACACCCTGTGGTCTGTTGACAGTCAAATATGCAAATGAACAACATCTGGTCAGGCTAGAAAACATGCCTTTCTTTTGGCTTCCCAAATGTTTTTAATATTGGTACTTTGGGAAGGTATTTCCAACACTGATGGCTGGAATGACTGATTGATTGATCAATGCTTTTATGAGTATGCACTGTACTCACTGTAGTTTATTGTTGTCTGTCTTAAATAGGTCTCTCTTGTAAATCAGTCCTCATGACTCAATGAGACTAACCTGTCTAAATAAAGGTTGAATGAATGAATTGATTGATTGATTGATTTAATCTGTACATCAATAATCTCTTAGCTCCACTTTCTTAAAATTAACAAGAAAAACAAAGAGCCACAGTAGTCCCTTGCTACTTCCTGGTTTGTTTATTGCGGATTCGCTCTATTGCAGTTTATCAAAATAAGGTTGGACATGACACATGACTGATGGAAGAGCCTTACGATCAGCATGGGATTTTTATTTAAAATCAAGTATTTTAAAATTTTTAGCACCTCTTGCACCTCTGTGCAGCCCACACTGCAAGCTTCCTGCTGCAGCTGATCAGCTGTTCTCTGTGAAGTGCGGATAAGTGGGCGTGGCCAAGAACAATTGCAGGGGGCAAAGAGCAGAGGAGGCAGGGAGCTGAAATCATGACATTATATGCTCTTTTAGAGCGTTTAGAGTTTAGAAACATTGCTTAGAATATCTCGAGGGTGGGAATGATTTAAAATGCCTTAATATATAAATACTAAAATAAACTACTACTTACTACTTGTACTACTATTCCTACTTCATGTTTTTCACTTATCGCATGTCTTTAGGGTATGGATCTCCTGCAATAAAAGAAGGACTACTGTAAACCATTGATTAAGGTAAATCACTGATTAAATTAATGTTACAATGATTAGTCCAATCTGTAAAATAAATAAATTAAATAAATAAGCAAATGCAAAAACTATTGGTAAGTGGTTATATTGCTCTCTGGATAAAGTGTAGAGTGTAATTTCCAATTAATGGTAACATGTTTTTGTTGGTCCTAATAGATGATTTACTCATAATCAATTATTGCTAATTTTAGATTAATTAAAAATATGGAAAATAAATCACAGATATCTCAGATATAATGATATTACTTAAACAGTAGAAATACAAAATATGTTTTGGCCT